GTTTCTAGCGTTGTAAGTCCGCAGACATACCGCTGTGCTACTGGGGGGCGGAGGGAATATTATATGGTATCGCACGGATTCGAAGCCAGTTCCGAAATCCAAAGAAATGGTGAGTTATTCTTGTGAAATACGGTCGTTGAAATTTGTTCAGACAATTGTTTGTTTGTAAATAAGCACAAAGCTACACAATGGACTATCTGTGCTCTGCCCACCACGGGTATCGAAACCCGGATTCTAGCGTTGTAAGTCTGCAAAACATACCGCTGTGCCACTGGGGGGGGGGGGCGTTCAGACAATTATCTTGAACTATTTGAAATGAGAAGTAGTTCACTGAAACGTGTTTTCTTCACCGATCTCTCTTTCTGTCTTATTAGCTCATAGAAGTTATTCCTTTCCAAGATTTGGAATATTATTTACGCAATCATCATATTTAATGCCTTGAAATAAACCTAACACACACACACAACAGTGGTGTGATTCAGTTAAATCATACATAATTTTATGGTCTCAGGAGGTCGTGTCTAAAATACTTTGTACAATTAACTGTTAATTCCTTCATTTACATTATACACAAAATTTGTTCACACAACTATTTTTCAAAGGGCTTCGCTCAATAAAACTCAATCTTCCCAAGATAAGAATCCTTTTTGCGCTTTGGAATATACTATTGTAATTGTAATTATGTTTAAATAAACACTAAATGTTGAAGTAAAATTATGCCTTTTTTACTTTATTATTTTTATTTGTTCTGTTTCATTTAAGCACTCGCATAAGCACTCTCAAGAGAACTATGAGTTTGATTATTTACAATTTTCGCGAAAAGCTTTTTTTTTTATGGCAAAGTTACTAAGACCATCGGACACCGTTCCTTATTTTGAACTGCTGACTAAAGGTACGGCAACCGGCCAACAACTCTTGGGCTTCTCTTTACCAACGAATGGTGGGATTGACCGTGACTTTATAACGCCCAATGGCTGAAAGGGCAGGTACTTTTAGCAACAGGTTTCGATCCAGAAATCGCAGATTGTGAATAGAGCGCCCTAACAACCAGGCCACCATGGAGAAGTACACAATGATTATCTGTGTATTGTCGCCTTCAATTTTAAACTGATATAGTGAAGGCAGCTAATAAACAACATCTACCGCCTACTTTTATTTAACTGAACAGTGGAATTTAATCATTACTCTTATAGGACACAGACAGTTCCAAACTGGAGAGCGGGTTTTTGGAACAAAAGGATGCAAACCACGAACCATTCAGTTCATAACCAGTCCAGCATTAAGAAACTAAATTATATGTTTCAACTCTTCATTTCGGCTGTTCTCCCGATCAATCACGTTTACGTCACACAAACCTCCAGTTACTATTAATCTCACGCTAACTGCCATGGAGCAGAAAGACGTAAACTATGTTCGAGTCAAGTTAACAAAAAAACAAAAAAAACAGTAGCCTAAAAGAGTTGGCTGCATGTATATATGTACTTTGCAATTTTCTGATAGCCTTCTAGTGCCATTATTTAAAAGCACATCTAACTTTGTATCTTTTGACGTAATCATGCTCACCAGTGGCACAGCGGTATGTCTGTGGACTTACAACCATAGAAACCGGGTTTCGATAACCGCGGTGGGCAGAGCACAGATAGCCCATTGTGTAGCTTTGCGCTTAACTACAAAGAAACACGTAATCATTTTAATCTTTTCCCTCCTAATAATAAGGCAACCAAACCGCTTATTTTATATCCGTATGTATATACAAAAAGAAAGCTTTAAATCTTCATATGTAATGAAACATTAATAATGACAATGTTCTTGATAAATAAGTATATACATATGATGTGGTTGGGCCTGGAGGTAAGGGTGATCGACATGCAATCTGCGGGTTCGAACATGCTCGCCCTTCATGATTGCTGTAAAAAAAATTATTGGCCATAACAAAATATCCGAGCAGCCAATCCCAGAACTAGACGGGATTAAGGTCGAATGAAGTCATACGCTGTGTGTGGTTGTGAGGCTATATCATATACCGCTATATTTACAGTTTGTACCCATAGTTACTGTAATCCTCAACCTCACTTACCACTTGCTAAAGATGTATGTCGTAGCCACACAACCTTGTTTTTTACATATTATCTCCTGCACAGGTATGATAATAGCCATAACCGTCTTTCAAATGACAGGCCCGGCCTGGCCAGGTGGTTAGGTTGCTCGACTCGCAATTTGAGGGTCGCGGATTCGAATCCCCGTCCCACCAAACATGCTCGCCCTTTCAGCCGTGGGGACGTTATAATGTGACGGCCAATCCCACTATTCGTTGGTAAAAGAGTAGCCCAAGAGTTGGCGGTGATGACTAACTGTCTTCACTCTAGTCTTACACTGCTAAATTAGGGGCGGCTAGCGCAGATAGCACTCGTGTAGCTTTGCGCGAAATTCAAAACAAACAAACTTTCAAATGATAACTGTAACTTTCCCTAAAAAAATAAAAAGAGTACGTTAATTAACATTGCATAATATCGCGACGTGGTAAGAAATAAAGGAAGAAAGGGAAATTCTGAATTATGCCCATAATATTTCTGCTTTCAAGTGTAGTTGTAGCACATCCCACCCATTGATCTTTAGGAACTAAGTTAAATTATGGTTTAAAGACGAACACAGTTTCTAATTTCTTATTAAACACTAGGTTTACATTTATGATTCGCATGGGTTCAGTATTTACTTTTACAAACAACTTTTATGACCTACTGGTAAGTTCAATCGCTAAATAATACTTATTCACACACTCAAGCGAAAGGAACTAAGAGACTTCCAATTATGAAAAAAAAAATGCTAAACGTGTATTTTGCAATTTTGTTAAACCTCTACCTTTGTTTGTGGAACAGATGGCATATTATGAAAAACAATAGTAAAACTGGTATGACCCTTCTGAAATATGGCGGTAACTTAAAGTTAACGATATTATCGAATCATTAAATATTATCTTTGTAGTTTTTAAGCCAGTACACTAGTTTCAACTGCCATTTGTTGTAAATACACACGTACCACTTTATCCGGTTTTCCACTTTGCCCCGAGGATAAAATAGCTAGCGTCACGTGCCGCGTGACACTATAGTATGACAGCGGGGTGGCGACCAAAGTCTGGCCTGTAAGTTAAACAACTATTTTGCCTTTATGGGCGTTACCTAAATGCCCTCATTCTTATTTTCATCTTGGCTTCTGACTGGTTGAACCTCAAAGAGACAGATATATGTCAAAATCACCATCCTAATCACGTGAGTACGAGCAGTGCACAAGTTATATTGAAAACAATAAAGTTTATTATTGTTACCACAACTGTTTTTAGTACAAAGGCTAATTTGGGATGAGTAGTAATCGAAATTTTTTAGGGAATTAATTTCTGCGAAATATGTATAACCTCTCAATTAGGTTTACTTTGAGAAACTTACAGTGGGAAGATATTCAATACCTTATCTCTAAAACTGTAAAATATGGCCTAAGATTGAACACGTATAAAATTAGCCGTAAATACTTTATTTTTTTCTGATTAAGAAGTTAACACACAAGATCACATACAAAAGTTGCAATGGTTTTCAAACAAGACCCAAAAACTCGAGCACTTTTGAATAGTTCACCGTTCTCCTTCAAAAGAATAAAGAAAGTACTTTATTATTTTCAATATTAATATTTTTGAAGTAACTTTTTCGAAGGATCGACAACACAAGATTTGGGCATGACAAAGTTTAAATTAGGCAGGAAACAAATCATTTGATCAGGCACTAACAAAAGTTTTTTAAACCTCTACTGAACAATACTTTTGCTTTCCCGATTACGTTTTGTCACTTAGATGAGGTGGTTATAAAAAAAAATAAATAAAAGGATGTTGTGTGAAAAAAATCTTGTAAGTTTGAAAACAACCCGACTTCTCAATAAACCGTGAGTACAGGAGCTACCACTCTGGTTAATCGTTATCATCGTGGCATGGTTGAATCACATCGCAAGTCTTGTATATGATGTCGACCTTCAAACAAACCCCCAGCCACGTGCATTTGATTTGATGCTGTCACGATAACTATTATACTTAGAAGGCGTGGTTTCTTAGAGGGTGGACAAAAAAAAATGGTATTTGCACTAGCAAATGCACAGAGCAAGTTAGAGATCACGTGCTCTTTTCGATTGTTTGATGAGGAAAAACCACTATAACTTACTGTATGTTACTTTTCCTCACGCGATTATTTTCTTATCTGAAATATACATGGACAGAAGGCACAGGGGGTCAATAGCGTCCCGTAAACGTTCCCCCGGCAACCAATGGTTCATTTCTCAGGCTCAGACAAGTATTCTTCCTAGTGTCTCATATCAGTTGTGATATTCTGTACACAAGCAATGGGGCAACTGTAAATACAAGGGTGTGAGAAAAAAATACCAGATAACAGGACGCGAGTCTGGTTTATGTGATCGTGATACACAGACACGCATATGCGATATCATGTTTCTTTAACCTTTGTCCCGTTGTCTCTCTGTCTCTTGGACGTAGAATTAACTTGGAAGCTGTCCCTTCGGTGCTCAGCTGACAAAACTGATTCCGAGCTTATGTTACCATCTTCCTTATTGCTGTAAAAGTTTATTGACAAACTCTGTGTTTTCAAGCTACAGCAAAAACGTATGTAGACATATTTTAATGTTTCTTCTTCTTTATCCGTCATGTATAATGGCAAAACTCTTCTCTCTATATGAATTTGAAACACGAGCCATCACTTTATTGACTTAAAGTCAAAACGATATATGAATCCAGACTATAAAGTTACAATTCAATTTGTACTGCATGCATTACTAAATAAATAAATACCACACACACACACTTATTAAAAACACAAACACCGTCGTGTAAAAAAAATACATGGTTTGCTTTTCATTTTAAAACAGTGTGTTATTACCGAACTTCCTACATCATTTTAAGAGTTTTGCTGTGGTTCTTATTTTGTCTTTTAAGAAATAAAAAGTTGTGATTCTCCTTTAAAAGAATGTTTCTTTATTCATTTCAAAACAACAGCTACAACCAATGAACAAATTTGAATTTTTCATCATGTGAACGTTAAAACATGACAGCAATATACCTGAGACCTCATTTCTTTGATACAAGTTTAAAAAAAATGTGTTAAAAGAGCAGTAGCCACACTGTTTTATGAAAAAAAAAACAATAAACAACGACACTTCTTGTTCAATTACTTTCTTTGTTGAACAACAGTTTATTTTTTAATTCTTGCCTAAAAATATTAATAACAAAGAAATTCGTTCAAAATTTCTCAACTTTTTTTGGTAAGTAATCTGAAACCAAGCAATGAATGTATTTATGATCATATTTAAAATCAAATATTAATACATTATAGTACCCCTGAATAAGGAGGAATAGCAAAAAAAAAGAAGAAAAAAGTTAATGCACTGTTGAAAAGCTAAATTGAGATAAAAAGAAACATTGATAAATGACATGCTTTGACATTTTGTCTGCTTAAGTACAAGGGACAAGACACTAGCTTCTACTAAGTTGTTTGAAGGCTGTTACAACCTTGTCTTTACTGGTATATTAGAAGTAAGACTTTCAGGTTTATTCCTGCTAGAAATGCAGGAAAACAGCAGTTAATATTATCCTAGTTGATCCTCCAGTTTCTTACGATGACCGCTATATAGGCAAGGCTGAAAGAACTGCCCTCAGTCTTCAGCTGGTTTCTTGATATTGAGGTGATTTCTCTGTCTCTGGAGATTCTTTGAGTCACTGGAAGGTGGAGTAGCCATATTCAACCTTGACTTTTGGAGGAAATTCTCCATTTATTTGTAAAATCTGTGATATTCTCCATCTGAATACCTAAAACCAAAGATGAAATCAAGGAAGCGATGAAACTCAAAGTACAGACAAAATGCCACTCTATATGTGTGCCTCATATATCAATTATAATTTTTGGTCTAAAGTTTAAACCAGAATAACCAGAACCTAGTGTTAAAAAAAAAATCATCCTTACAGACTTCAACATAAAAAAATGCATGGATGTCACTACTAAACATTTTAACAATTTTTTTTATCTTTTTTGCTGGTTTTATAAAGCTATTTGTGTCTACTGAATAAGCTGTACCCCCTAAAATAGTAATTTTCCTGAGCAAATACGTTAATCTTAAAACAGTTCATGACTACATTTATAAGAAAATCTTATTAGCTGGTCATGTTCCTTTCCTTAGTTAATATTATAACAGTACATAGCTCTGTCTACTATAAAAAGTGCTTGTCTAAATATTTTTCGAAACATATTCATTATATTGGTATGATTAACAAAAGCAGTTTCAGCTGATGTGAAGTATTTTTTATAATCACCTTTTTACTTTTAATGAGAAAAAAAAAAGTATCAACCACATTTAAAAAAAAGAATATAAAAATTATCAATTACCATTTAACCTTCATCAAATACTTCATAAAAAAGATTGACTAATGTTTATAAAGTTTAAGATCTGTCCTCCCTAAAGTTTTTAATGTTACAATTTTGATAGTAGAACCACGAAAGAAAACAACAACAAAAACACAAAACAGGAAAAACTCCTTTGACTGAAGAGAAAAAAAACTATCAAGTTTGTTAACAGCAGCTACTAATGGTTAATAAGTAAAAAAACTTAACTGCAAATTCTGACATAGAAGACAGATTTAATGAAAGCACATTACAAAGCCAAAAAAAAGTGTACTTGAAAATTTTGTTGGAGCTGATGAATTCAATATAAGCACATAGAAGTACCCACAACGCATAATTAATCTATATAGATTTTTTCACAACTGATGGATTTATCAGAAGCTCTTGGCAATAAATAATAACTAAAAAAAATATACATTATTTACAGACTTTGTAACAACTGAAGAATTCAGATCATATCTCAGCTTATACTTAATAGAAACACAAGTTGATAACATCTTAGTAAAACGTCTTTACTAACCTTGCCATAATTGATTAATATTAAACATGCAAATTTGGTATAGCTAAAACAAAAAATTTTACCAGCAAATTGTCTAGGCTGATATTAATACAAATATATAGACATGCACACATACATACATATAATGGTTGCAACTTTATAAAAATTTACTTACAGACTTTGCTAAAATGAGATAAAATTGTAAAATAAAAGCATATAGAAAAAGCTAGAGCATAGGAAACTTACCTGTACATATTGTCAAAGAAGAGGAATTTACAAAAAAAAACAATTGCTAATGACAACAACACAAAAACTTGCCTGCACATTTTGTCATGGCAAATGAATGTAAGAAAAATGCTTACTAATTACAACTAAACAAAAAATTACCTGTAGACTTTGCCAGAGCTGTAGCACTGGGTGGCATGAAGCTGGCTCCTGCGGTCAGCAGGGTCACTAACGGGTTCGCAGGATCAGTAGATGACCCTTGGTTATTGAAGAAGTGGGCACATTCCAAAACTTGAAAAAATTCCCTTGATATTAAGAAAATAAACTATTATTAACCCATATGAACTAAACATTTTTAATGATCATGATTTTTGTTTCAAACTGGTGTATTCAAAATAAAATATATTCTTAAAAAACATACATACATATTATGTACCATATTTATTCTTTCCTTTTTACATTTCCTTTTCTTATTTTTAAGTTTTTTGACAAGTTTATAATTCTTTCAATTTGTACTAGTTGATATAAGCATTATATAGTGCCAGAATTTCTCTGTCCTTACTGAATTTTGTTTGTTTGTTTATCCGCGAACTACTCCATGGTCCTTGGACCAGCCTCAACCAAACTTGGTAGGATGATACATTGGAACAAGTGGCATGTCATATGGTGGTTATTACCTGAATGGGCCACACCCAGAGCAAAAAACGTGTTTGTTTATCAAATGACTCCAATGTCTTGGTCCAATTTTTATTCCTAATACATTTTATGTTTAATTTTCTTTATTAAAAATATCATACATTCACATTTCTGCCAGGAAAAATGGCAACCAAAGCACAATGTCAGACCCTTGTTTTTCACATGGTCAATTCTATGTTGGGTGTTTAACAGTAGGATCACCAAGAAATCTCTTTATTTTGGCCCAGGAAGGAGGGAAGAACTTTTAATGTGGTAAATCAACAAACACTGAGACTGTAGAGAGGGATTAGTAAAAGTAATAATTTAAAGTAATTGTAACACCATTTCTATAATGTAGATTAAAGTAGGTATTAAGTAAAGTAGTTGTAAAGTAAATTATGTGTGTGAAATAAATTATACATTTAAATATAAAATCTTGATTTAATTTATTAGTTCAAGCCCTATATTCAATCCTTATGCCCCCAGATGTACAACGGGTGCCTCGGCTTGTATAATATAAAAATAACAAATTGTCATACCAAGACATGTAGCCCTAAGTAACAATGGTAAAGAAAATAAGACATATGTCTTCAATATATCTATTAAGCCAATTCAAGAATAATTTTTTTTTTATGGCATAGCAGTTAAAATGTTGTTGAAATATAGCAAATGTAAAGTTTATTTAAATGCTACAATACAAAGAATGGGGGAAGACTGTCCACAAAATCTAAAGGTAGTGAGAAAGGGAGAAAAAAGCTAGGTTAGAGAACATTAAATGAGGTATTACATTATAAGTAACAGAAAAACAAAACAAGAGGTTGCTAGATAGAAAGTTCTCTGTGCAGGAAAATTAATATAGAATTTGGAATAAACTGACAAGGATTCAAGAAGAGAAATCTAGAGGATGCAATAAACAGATGAGCAGTCTTTAACACTACCTGTTGTGAAAAACCTTTCTATAAATACAAAACAAACCTACGAAAGAGGTTTGTACAAGGTAAAGACCACCACAAAAAGTTTAAATAAAACCCTAAGTAAATAGACAGACAGATCCTAACAATCCTGAAAAATTCTGCTCTGGTAAATAGAATATCTGTGACACTAAAAAATCATGTAAGATCAACATATAATTAATTCACCAAGAAACACGATAACCTATACACTTTCAAAAATGAGGCCTATATCTATATCTTAATTTTCCTGAATTTGCATCTGATACAACACTAAATCTGTGATAGCAGCATAGAGTGCACTCGATTAGCATCTCAGATTAGTTCTGACTGGGCATAATGTGCACTTTGGATCATTCTTTTTCTGGTTTTATGAAATCCTATTTGAAGGTCGGAAATGGTGGATTTTGCAAGGGTTTAAGGGCTAGATTAGTCATAGCAACTTAATTTTATGTTTATCGGAGTGGTAAATGTGAAAATCTGTTCTCATTTGAAGAACTGCAGTAGCATGAATGTTCATCAAATTTGAAATGCTTAAAAACTACCAATATGAAGAAAACAAACACTTAGTTTGGTTCTACTTTCAACAGTTTAAATTAATGCCAAAACTTGCAATCATATTAACATTTTATACTACATTGCAAAAGTCAACAGCATTTTAAATCTCAATATGTATTTTCCATTAAACTCATAAGTGTGATGTCACGTGACAAATTCAAGACACTAATTGAGTGCACTGAAATTGTTCTATCTAGAAGAGGAAAAAAAAAAAAGACTAATAAAATCCATTTACTAAGACATATATATGTCACAATAATTTTGTTGCATTTAAAAAAAATGTTTTTTAATATTGAAAATAATTTAGTTTGCCAACTTTACCTTTCTTAAAACAAAAAAATATGTCGGTTAGTAATAATAAGCCATTGTTTGTTTATACAAATATGAAGAAATTATATAAAAATAAGGACATAACTAATCAGAATTTAGAACATATATTAAAATAATTATAAAATAAGCTTGGGAGATGTAAAATTCTGAAATATGGTTGCTGTTTTTCTCAAAACTTTAAATTCCAAATACTATCTCTAAAATATATATATACTTATATAGACACACACACACACACTATACTATACTTACCAAGCTTCTTTTTCTTTCCTTTTTGGGTACTTTATGGGTGACAAAGAAAGGCATTCCTGTGGCCTCTGAGACCTGATATATCTAGAAAAATTACATGTCAGTGAAAATGATATCCTAAAATGTTTGATTTATTTCAGGGTATTTATCTAAAGCTACACAAGGGTTATCTGTGGTCGCCATCCCTAATTTTGAACTGATAACAGTACAGGGAAGACAGGTAGTCAACAATACAGTACAGGGAAGAAAGGTAGTCAACAGTACCCACTAACAACTCTCGGGCTATTCTAATCAAATAGTGGAATTTGACTGTGCATTTTCAAATTTTTTATTTTGCATCAACAGGATTAGAACCATGGACCCCCAGATTCACAGTCTGACACGCTAACCACTAGACCATGCTCAGCCCATGCCAAAATAAATGCAGAGTGATAACTAATGATAAGGTGAAAGTCCTAACCTACATAGACTTTTGTACGTCCTACTGTTTGATTGCATTCTTTGTAAGGCTCTTTCTATTAGAAACAAGTATTTCTTATTTCCTTCAGTCTTTGGTCTTAAGGACATTTCTTGGGTTTTGTATTTGGTCTCAGTAAGATGTCTCAGATGTTTCAAACTGCTTGCTGGTAATTATTCATAATGATAACTTTTGTAAAATTTCTAAATATTGACATTTAGCTAATTCTAATTGAAAACAAAATATATTATTTTCTCAAAATTCAATTGTGGGGAGATTAATTAGATTTATCAGTTTTGATTCAATGTGTTTGGCAGTTTTTATATAGAAAAATGAATTTTACTTTTAAACAAGGTATTTAGAAAATGTGATTGACATTGGATATAATCAGTGAACTTAAATATTTCATTTGTATCAATAAGTTTATGCTATTTTTATGAATAAATATTTTAGTCCTGCTCTGAAGAGGCCACACTGGATGACTGTGGTTTAAAATGCCAGCTATCTAATTATATTTTTATGGATAAATATTTTAGTCCTGCTCTGAAGAGGCCACACTGGATGACTGTGGTTTAAAATGCCAGCTATCTAATTATTTGTATTATTTTATTAATTTTTTTGGCAACGGCCATTCACCCCAAAATTGTCAAGTTTCCATATTCAAATTTCTCTGTTGGAGCAAACTAATGGAGTGTAATATGTTTAAAATGAAAAGCGAAGCTCGTTGAGACCAAATAGACTACATATGGATTTAATAAATAGCCAACAGCTAAATTTGAAAAAAATTCCAGATGTCACCGCATTAACCTTTGGAAGGATGGCAATAGTTGATAAGGTACTTTGAAAAATGATTCCTGTGTAGTAATACTGATATGACAGGGATGTACTCAGATATCCTTGGCATTAATCTTCAGAGGCATAGTTCTAAATAACAATAAAGTTAAAGATAACAAAGGATTAGGTTTGTTTTGGCAATGCTACACAAAGTGTAATAAACTGATAAAGTTTGCAACATAGCTTGTATAAATATATTTATGAAATGGTACTTCTTTTTTAAGTATCTATACTACTGTTCTGCTTGTTTGTATGTACGACTGTTACGCTTTCTGACCGAGAACCTGCTGCATAAGCATGCATAGTTAGAATGTTTCCCCAAGAAAAACCGTGCATGCACATTATTCACTCTACAATAAACAGTCTGCCTGTGGCAGAGAGCTGCAAAGCTCAGTGACCAAATCCCTACAATTGCTGTATGAAACAAGAAGTAACAACAAAAGGGGAATGTAAATATACTTTACTAACCATTTTGTACAGCACAGTATTAAAAACTTTGACGTTAGGACGTAGAATAACATTACAAGTTTATTTATCGATTGTATTAAGTACAGTAAAGTTTAGTCCTAACTACAGGTTACACTGTTAATTTATCTCTTTATTGAACTTAGGCCTAACATAAGTTAAAATTTTATAAAGTACAGCCTATATACAAGTGGATTTACACATTTCATTGTCTATGATTACAATTCGTTTGTATTGTGCTAGAAATGTTATATTTAAAGAAGTACTAGTACAATAAAGATACTAATTTGGCCAGAAATGTTTTGTGGGTTTCTGCTAGTAATTATTAATAGGCCAATAATAGTAATAATCATAACACAATGTCAAAGAGAAGTGTCTTATTTTGTAGTATATCAGATCATAACATGAAACTCCAAGCAAAATATTCTGGGACCAACTGCATTCTGTAAAACTTGTAGTTTTTTGTTGTCAGTAACACAAACAACATTTCTGAGTACCACTATAACAAAGTATATTCTGTAAAGATGCAAGCTTTATCTCAGTTTGGACCAAAAATGAATTAAGCCTGTTCTGAAAAACCTACCCCCTATTTATTATTTCATCAAACTGTCTACTTTTAGTCCAACTTATCTCACTTATTAAAATTGCACTACTAATTGTGGCCTTGTGTTATAAATTCTTGTCATCGACCTCAGCTTAAAGACTCCCACTCTTGACACCAACCTCTGCCTAGAGGATCAGGCCATGACACTGGCCTCAACCTTGTAGGCCCTGGCCTTGAATCCTAGACTGGTTATTTGAAATTAGTTTCTTTTTTTTTTAATCTGAGGTTTTGAAAAGATCCTGAATCCAAATAAAATTAGTATAAAATCATACATAAAAACAAGATCAACATTTTTAGTATCTTTCATACCATGCTGATTAAAGACTGTCAAAACAATTCGTATACTTCAAAAATAAACTTCTAATTCCTTTATTATCATATACAGGAAGAAACAAGAAGAGGTTGTATAATCTTAGTTAGATGTTTAAAAATAACATGACAGTAAGTAATAACTCTGGGATACTTTATAAAACATTTTCTAATTTGTCTATCTTGGAGATATTTGCCTTATAACAACCATTTTACTACAGCTGAAAATATTTAAAAAATACTTAGTAGTTATAGTTAGATTGAATTAAAATTTTTTTTTGAGAGATGAAATTACGAGTTTTCAAACTGGGTCTAACTTTTGAAAGATAAAGAACTTTTTATCAGTGACTAAAATCTTGAAATAACGTGTGTAGGTGTATAGAATAGAGCTAATTTCCAATTCATGTTTCAGGACATTAATTTTAACAGTTTTAATTTTCAACAGAGTGGGAATAAGAAAAACAGATGAAACCTGCAATGAAAAATTTTAAAAACAAATAATACTTCCAAAACAAAAAAGTAAGGTGGTGGGTTAGTGTTTAAGCACAAAGCTAATTACACAGTGGGCTATCCATGCTGTGCCCATCACAGGTATTTAAACCTGGTTTTTAACATAATAAGCCTTCAGATTTACTGCTATGCCACTGGAGGTCAGAAATATAAGAACTGTAAGAGTATTTTAACCAAAATAATAGAGGTTACAGAATTGAGGCATTTTTCTTTTTCCATGATACAGGTATATTACACATGTATATTAGTTTTTAATTTTTAAAACTAGATATAAAAATATATGGTTGGCTACCTACTTAAAGAATGAAACATTTCAATTTGTCATTCAGTACACACCATTTCTTTATGAATTATATATTTACTAACATTTTCTTTTATTACAACACAACATTTTTACTTGTAGGTTATGCAGTAAAAAACTAAAAAGCTTTACTCACCTAGTTCCATGCCTCAGTTCATTTTCCAGCCACCTAATAGCTTCTCTTGCTCCCACACTTTCTTTCTTACGTTCGTCAAGACTAGCTATCACTAATAACATGTAGAAAAAAAAAAAAATTAAAAGGAGTTTTAATAAAAAAGATGTTTAACCTGACATTTATTACATTTGTTAAAAACAAAACACTTCTAATTAGGAAAAAAAAATACTTAATGAATATTGTACTCTTAATTATTGTTTCAAGTAATATAACTCTGTGCATGGATTGTGGTCAAAGAGCACATTACAACTTTATCATTAATGCAAGTCAATAAACTTTGACATCAAAATACAGTTTACAATTCAAATTTTAATATTATACACGTTTCAATTAATTTATAAAAGGAAATATTTATGTGAATTTCAATCTTCACTTCTATGTGTCACGTGATACCTTTCTGCTCTGAATTCTGTTTTAGATTTTTTTTCTTTCCTTTAGGTTTCAGAATGTCCAATAATTAGATACCACCTACTGATAGGCCAGAAATTAAAATAAGAGCCTTCTAACTCTTTCTTCTTTCTAAATTACTTACTCATGCTTACTTGTTAATGTTACATGTTTATAACCAATAGATCTACCTGATTGTGACGTCTTTATTTTAATTTATTTTGGTAAAAAGGATATCATTTCACAAGTACATTTTACAGAGTGAAGACCAGAATCAGCACTCCAATAGGTAATGAAATTTGTTAAACCTTTTCATGGGTAGGTCAGTTAGAAAGAAAGATAAGTCCCAGTAATTTTGTGGCATTCTGTTTTACTGTTTGTATTATTGTTTTTGAAAATGAATATTTGAAAATTACACAAATTATTTTTTGGACAACAAATTTAGATAAATTTAGGGTTGATGAAGACCAGTTTCTGAGTTTAAAAGGGCCTCAATCCTGAACTGCTAAATTTCTCATTTTTGATGTATTTTTTATAGCAAAATGGCCTCAATCCTGAAACGCTAAATTTCTCATTTTTGATGTATTTTTTATAGCAGAAAAAGGGCCTCAATCCTGAAGCACTAAATTTCTCATTTTTGATATATTTTTTTATAGCAAAAGGATCTCAATCTTGAAGTGCTAAATTTCTCATTTTTGCTGTATTTTTTATAGCAAAAGGACCTCAATCCTGAAGTGCTAAACTTCTCATTTTTGATATTATTTATTGATATATATATATATATTTAACAAAAATAACTAAAATGTAAAAATTAAAAACTTATTAGATTACGTAAAAAAAACTTAAATAGAAAAAAACATTTTTGCCTCAAGGAAAGCACAAAAACAGATGTTGTAGACAATGGGTGATGTATCCTCCAATTGTGTTTACCATGCACTCCCACAGGGTGGGTGATTGATATACATAATAATCAGACATGAATCAAAGAGCAATAAAACAATAAAATTAAATGAAAACAGATGCCCACTGTTATAAGCCTGCTGATGTTTAGGATAAATAATTGTAATTTTATGCTAAAATCTGTAGTCATTCTAGAAAGAAAGATAGATAATTAAGATTTTTGTTGTGTTGGTTACAAGGTCGGGCAAATGGACAGAGCCCATATAGTGTTAAAAGTTGAGAAAATAACAGATGAAATATAAATTTTTATTAAAAACTTTTGATATTCATTTAGAAGGTTCTAGAAGTTATGTAAATGAAATACAAAACTGTAATACAAAAAAAAGTATTTTTATTCTTCACATGAAAATCATCTTGCACTCATACTAGCCAGTCTGAGTTAGACAGACTAAAGTAAAATCAGAGACAAAATCTTTAGTAAAAATACTTTATTAAAAATTCTGATAGATTTTATAATAAACATTATTTCTCCAATACAGGCTCAGTCAAATGGAACAACCCAGGCTTGTTTGAAATAACACAATTTTCTATGTTTGACTTTCATATTCTGCTGAGTAACTTGACTCAAAGAATATCTATAATCTTGGGTTCTATTTGTTAATTATGAAACAAAACCTAATAGTAGTATTAACCTTTGGGACTGAATGTACTTACCAACAGATGGCACAACAATAACAAATCTCTTGGATAATCTCAACTGCTTTAACAATGCCAACTGTTGACAGAAGGTGCTAATGTCAGGAACAAGATACGGAGAAAGTTGAGGACATCCTCCTCCTTTTACTTTAGTTTCCAAATCGTTCACTTCAGCCTAGATCCACATACCCATAAAAGTAAATTATCATGAATATTAGACATATGAATCAAAAATTATTGTTGACATGTTTCGTGATTTAAAGAAGTTGTATACTAAAAAAACAAAAATTTACTATAACATGATAACCTTAAAACATTAACCAAATAAAATTTTCAAGCAACAACAAAAAATATATAAAAATAAAATAATGTGAGCTGATATGTTTTATACTGCAACAGAAGACAGTTAACATATATTCATATTTATAATGATAGTGTACAAAGTCCCTACCTTCAACCACAGATGAGCCATGTTTCGCATCATCTGTTTTCTTTGACCTATGGGTTGCTCAACTCCCTGAGAAATATAATTAATTCAAAAGATTAAAACTAAGCAATAATCTTGAAAACAATGAATACCCGAATAAAACATAACAAGTTAAATAAAAACAAAGTTATCTATTGTGGCTGTTAAAACAAGTCCCTTCCTTCTCTATAAACTAGTTATATATTCAGTAATTAGTGTAGGGTTTCTTCTTGTGTAACTGAGTAAAAAGAGAAACTTAGAATTAGTTCAAGACTACTCTAAAGATAATAAAAAATTTGAAATTGAGGATTATGAATAATAGTGCACATACCGTATTTTTCGGTGTATAAGACGCACTTTTTTACCACCAAATTTAATGTCAAAATCTGCTTGCGTCCTATACACCGAAGGTATGAATAATATATATGTATATATACGATATACACAAGCCATGTGTAAATATATTTAAATAGGCATGCATAGTTTAGTTCAATTGAATGCATTATTTATAACAATAGTAGTTTTTTTCTTTTAAAAACATAACTACTTATAATGCTCCCTAAATATTAGAAAAATAAATTACAGTGAAAGCAATGAAGATTTTGTAGGTTTTGAACGAAACTAAATAACAGTAAACTTTTTTTGATTTACAGTATTTTCTTATTTTGATGTTTTAAGCTCTTTTGTGTTTAGAACAATATATACTAATTTTTAAAGTATGAAATTGAATTTTTGTTCAATAAAAATCTTTCAAATGCAACTGTAGCTTTTTTCCCTAAAAAACTTTGTCTTCAAAATAAGGGTGCGTCTTATATTCCGAAAAATACGGTAAATCAGTCAAAAAAAGTCAAGTGTTAGTTTTCTTCTTCTTTAGTTTCTTTCTGCTACAGTTTGACTATAGTGAGAATAGCAGGTCTACATGATGACAGCGTAACTTCTGATGCATGACTCTTAAACTATGTGCTCTTCTGTTGTTTGTGGTTTCATCAGAAAGTTTTAAATAAATGTAAAAAATTTTCAGTGTACTCTTTTCCATTTTAACACAATATTTACACATATTTCCTCACAACCTCAAAATTCAAAGTATTTTATCTATAATAGTAGTGGAAAAAAGCACAAAATGTGAGTGCGTGCATGAAAACAGGTACAAAAAAGAATGGAACACCAGTAACTAGTCACTAACACAATGACTAATAACATTCAAACTGTTATAAACTTACAGTCTCAGTATTTTCAGGGCTTATAGCTCCACTAATACTTTTTTCTGTACTACTTGCAGTAAAGCATTCTTTTTCAGAGTTAAAACTGACTCCTGTCTTTGGCAGCCTGGCTAATAATTGGCCCAAACTGTGAAGACACTGGATGCGGAGAAAAACCTAGTAATACCACAAGCAAAAGTAATAAAACAAAGTGATTTTCTTTAATGCTTAAGTATGTATTTTACCTTATATACATGTTTGAACAAAAGTTATAAAATAAAATCTAGATAAATATGAAATTCAACTTAACACTTTTGAACAATCCTATTGATATTATATACATTAATCTTAACTATATATATATGGTTATGGTATTCAGGTATACTGATATCTAACAATATCTAATTACTGCAACATACAAAAATATTGTTAAAAAAGTTAATCAGATAATGAATGAAATCTGGATAGCAAAAGAAAGAATTAAACACAGGCTGTTTAAAAAAAAACAATTTTCTTTTGCATCCAATACTTTACCTAAACTGGCCAACTTCGGTGTTCTACGTGACAAAATTTTGGCTACTGGAGTAACAAAAGTAACTATGTTTACACAAAATGAAAATAATGACTGAATGTTCCAGTGTAACATCCCACAATCCTTTACCACTCTCATTACACAAGTTAAAGAGAAATAAACCCCCAGCACATACTGACTTGTAGGAGTCTTTATACTACCACTAAACAGCCTGTAATTCAAGAGTCAAACAACTATATGCTAGTACAGAGTACCTGTTGTAATATATAAACTTTATCTATGATACAGGGTTAGTGCAAGCTTACAACCTTTCACATCCTATTTACAAGAATGTCAACTACCTACCTGAAAAACACCTGCATACAAATTTTGAAACATTTGCCTGAGCAAAGGTATGTTCTTTTCTATGTTATGGAAGGGTGAAATATAAGTTTCATCCATAGTGACAGGGATAAGTGCACTAAATGATTTGAAACAACCTCTAAGTCTTATCATCCAGTAAAGTATTTATTTACTACAGAGTAACATCAAAATCATTCAAAAATAGAAAAATCAACTCTTAACTATTATAAAAAAAAATGTACATATTCAAATGTTTTTACATGAAAAAAATTGATTGGTCAAAAGTCCACATACAGGACTTCCCTTAAGAGTAGCAAACAACAACAACAAGAAAAAAAACTACCAAGTAGAGATAGATATCTATATTGTAGAAGGTTATCATGCCAAAATCTGATAGTTTTTTTCTTTTATTTGATTACTTGTTTTGCATATTTTTATTGTTCTATGCAAGAAAGTAAATTACTTAATTTAATACAAATGGTAGCAATCACTAAAGCAACAATTACTAACTTCTTCTTTCAAACTAAGTCCATAGGATACATCAAAGTCCAGCTGAAGGTGAAAGTTCTCAAGTGGGGCTAGCCCACGTAGGGTAAAATCCTCTGACAAAGGCTGTGTTTGTTTCCACTCTGGTCCATTCCAGATAAGACCTTGAACACTTGGAGAACTAGTATCTGAGCATAACAAGAATCAAACTTACTACAATTTAAATCAATCCACTAAGTTCACAACAACTATCAGGTGTTGGTTAGTATAGGTCTGTATATATATTTATGTGCACACACACACAGTCTTTCAGATTATGCACCAATTGGACTTCTTTTGTTACTTACATTAAAGTCCAGCTACTTATATTTATATAAATTGATTTTCTGTCATAAGCTACATTTGAGCCATTTTCTTATGTATTTTGCTGATTCTTATCAGTGTAGCATATCTTGTTACAATTAATACTTTCATAGCAGTCTGATTATTAACAAAGTGATTTTTGATCATTCAATAATTCTAATCTGAAGTTAAAGCACAAGGAGTTAAAAAAACATTACTTCTCTAAGTTTAAATTAACAAACAAAATAAACATCTCTTCAAAAATTTTAACTGCTTATAAAACAAAGATCAGAGTAAACAAAAATAACAAGCTCATTAAAAAGATAAAACTTTACATCACATGTAACTTAAAAAAAAAAATAGACCTTCACATTTTTCGTTTTAACTTTATCTGATTTATCTTTATAACTGATGCTATAGTGTTTACTGTCAATGACTCAGAGTTTGTGTATGAACCATAAGTAACATATACAAGACAAAAGTTTGAATTTCTCAATAAGATGAAGTAGTGAAAAACTATTTTAAATGAATAAACTAAATAATTTAAATTAATTGAAAAATATCATAATTAACTAAACATACTAAAACAAACTTGTTCTGTTTATTTTAACTTTAACCCTATGTATTCGGGTGGGTCAAAGTGTGCATGTCACGACCTTTTTTAGAGTTACCTTCAAAATTTAATTAAACTTTGTGTTATCAATGTATGTCAATAAACTTGGCATCAAAACATAGTTGGCAATTCAAATTTCAATATCATATAGTTTTAATTTCTAAATTTCAAAAGAAAATATTTAACCTCTCAATATCCATTCCTTGATATCATGTGACAAGTTCACTCTGAATTGCCCATTTTAGGTTTTCTTTCTACCCTTAATGTTTGTAAGCACAAAGCTACACGATAGGCTATCTGTGCTCTGCCCACCACAGGTATCAAAACCCGGTTTCTAGCATTGTAAGTCTGCAGACATACCGCTGTGCCACTGGGGGGGGCTCCACCCTTATATGATCTTTTGAGTTTGGCACAAGTTACACACATATAGTACCAAGTTATAATGTAAATTTATAGACTTAAGTCTTCTTGTTTTACTGAAATATAAGTGAGAAAGTCAAACCCACATTTCTCACTCTTATTGCATCATGTCTTTCAAAAAATGTCAATAATTCTCATTGGATTATTTGTAACCAATAAAAAGCAAAGATTTTAAGTTACTGAATTTTCTACTAGCCTAGCTCATTCTGATGACAGGTTTTGAATTATTAGGTCCTCGTTTCATCGTTTGTTATTGTGCAGATCAGCTTGACCAGCCAACATAGTTTATTCAAACCATTTATAGCTTAGTTAGAAAACCAGTTTTAAGACATTCTATTTATTGTATGTGATAATATTTTATGTTCCAAACTGCATATTTGAAATAAATAAAAAAAATTACTCACAATCAACAATGTCACAAAAAAATAGGGGCAGAGTTGCTCATCCCATTGACAGTAAAAGCCTTTAGTCCACACATAAGTAGTAACTTTTTTGTTTATGAATAGGTAATTTTATGAATATTATTTAATGTCATACAAGTAACTAAAAGGTAAAAAAAAATTAGAAATTCATTAGGGCATACAGGAAAACTTAAATGAAAAAAAAGTAAATAGAAAAATTACTCATAATAGCATGCACAGATCACAAACTAATTTGACTGTGGTAAAATAATCCTTTGTTTACATGTAGTTGCCCTGCTGTGATAAATGGTTTTTTTTCTCTACTCAGAGTCAGTCTAAGCACAGCTTTAAAACAATAAATTTATATGACCGTGAGATCTGAAAAGCCTATTAGCTTTGGCTGTAACAATAAATAGTGTAATGATCTATTACTATATGCAGTCATTCTAGAAATAATAAAACTTTTGATATTCATTTAGGAGGTTCTAGACATTACGCAAATGAAATAACAAAACTGTAAGATAAAAAATAAGTATTTGTTTCTTAATATGAAAATCACCTTGAACACAGACTAAGTGGAGACTTCATTAATTCACAGACAATTCTTTAATAAAATACTTAATTAAGAAATCAGATTTTTTGTGTACAACAGAGTTGCAACATTTACTAAAAGCTTGCAAAATTTTGTGAAGATACATTTAGTAAATTCAGAGTTATATAGTACATATAGTTTTAGAGTAAGTGATGATTACAAGGTTGGTCAAAATGACCAAGCTCATACACGAAGCATTTTAAGATAAACAAAACCAGTAGGATTGTCAAACTACATTACTCTTCCTTTGAATCAAAACTCTGATAATTACTTAATGTAGCTTCTACATTCAAAGCAAAAATGAGGACTGAAAACAAATCAGTCTTACCATTTTTTAATTTGTCATGTACTTTCCTCAGTAAATTCAACAGGTTGATGACATGGCTCCATAGGATCTGACAACTCTATAACATGTAAAAATAATAAGCATAACAAAGTTGATGAGTTATAATCCAAGTATTGGCAAGCAATGAAATACAAATAAAAAAATGCTGGTGAAGACAATTTGGCGAAATAAATAGAAAATTAGAAAAAAATAATACAAAAATTTGATGAAAAACGTGGCATATTTAATATATAGTAGAAAATCTTGAAGCATATTCTATATCATTTGGTTACAGGATTTTCAATAACATACAAGACCATCAAAGTTCTCCAGTGGGGAATGTCTGACAGCCCTGTCCTACTGGACATGGCCCTGTACGAAATAGATCAGGTTCTAGCATAAGTAGTTTTAGCAAGAGCTTCTCAAGACTGCATTGACAAAACTTTTGCCACAATAATTACTAAATGATTTGAGCTTAGTTTAAACTTCTTGGCCATTGTTATGTACAGTTTCTACTTTTTTACACCTTATCAACTTTAAATTAACTCTGCACTAAGCATATATAGTAATTTTTAATATATTTATCTTAAGTAAAAGCAAATAAGAAAGTCCCTCTCAAAGTTAATACACATGCATTTTATTTCAGCATCTACCTTTAATATAAAACTGTATTTAATGAGGACCAACTGGGAAAAATCTGGCATTTAGGTATATATTAATATCTGTAAAACAAGAGCCAAAAATGTTTGTTTGTTTGTTTGTTTCTTAATTTCGCGCAAAGCTACACGAGGGCTATCTGCACTAGCCATCCTTAATTTAGCAGTGTAAGACTAGAGGGAAGGCAGCTAGTCATCACCACCCACCGCCAACTCTTGGGTTACTCTTTTATCACAAATAGTGGGATTGACCGTCACATTATAACGCCCCTACGGCTGAAAGGAAGAGCATGTTTGGTGGGACGGAGATTCGAACCCACGACCCTCAGATTGCGAGTCGAGCGCCTTATCCACCTGGCCATGCCGGGCCGCCAAAAATGATTTGAAAGACCCTGTAATACAGTATACAATTTAGATTAGTTTCAATTAAATGATTGAAATCTCAAATTGAACTGATTATGAGTTCTTTTTACCTCATCTCTGATAAGTGTCACAGGTTCTCTTTCAAAAGTAAAGATGCAAGTTTAAAGAAGTAATGGATAAGATTAGGAAAATAGAGATATTTCAGTATGCTTGTATAAACATTAAAAAATTGTTCTAGTTTGTTAAAATATATACTGGTTGTAAAGCTACAAGAATCTTTAATGGACTCTAGCGCTTCTAATAGCAAGGATATTACAACTTTCCATTAAGACAATTTTTTTGCACCTTGCCAAAATGACTACAAACAGAATCTTTTATTTTTGTCATTGTCAACTTTTTATTTATTCTGTTTCTTCTCAAGTCAAGATTAAGTCACAATATCAAGAACTCAGTCAAAGGAAGTTGAAATTGAGAAAAATGTTGAAAACCAGTACCCATAACCATCCCCCTTTATAAATTTTTATAAAGAAATCACACAAAAAAAAATCAGTTATCTTAGAAATAAAAATATTAAAGTTAAAAATATGGATAAAGCATATATATATATATATATATATAGA